AGCCGGAGCCCCTCTGACATTTGCTGCAGTTTGCATTTGCACATCCACTGCCCCAGCTGGGCAGTCTTCCTCACCAGCCTGCTCCCAAAAGCACCGATTCCCATCAGCAAATAGTGGGCGTGCTGCTTTCCTGCTAACATTTGCCATCTCGGGTCTAGCTCCAGAGCCTGCAAGGGGCAGGCAGATACCGCCCGGTGTCTAATTGTCCCCCTGTTTCAATAGTCAGATGACAATATGATTAATTATCACTACAATGTCACCGAGAGGGCTGGGTAAACGCTGCACTGCAGCTTCTGGAAACCATTTGAATTGCTGAGACAACTTTGCTTGTCCTCCTCAGTTTTCTGTACTTGTGCTCCTTAGTTTTCATTTATTTTGGGCATTTCAGAGACCAAGCTTAGAAGTGAGCACATGCTTCATCCAGACCTAGGGCAAGTGCTGAGCTTGCAGCACTGCCCTGATACATCTGGACCAGGCTGCAGGCTTAAGTAAAAAACTGACCTGAGCTCTGGCCAGTGGCTTCCTCGGGGTGCGAGGCTGCTCTGGAGGGAACGCACAGGCAGAGCATGAGCGTACGATGAGTTTTCAAAGCAAGCAATAAGGATAAGCCCGTTGCAGGTGAAGTTAAGCAACCTAGAGAGGAGCTTGTTATCAGCGTGCCCTACACTGGGAAGCACAAATACCTGATGAACCATGTATGGTCTACACTTCTTCCAGCCCCCGTGGTCCCGGTGCTGTCCCTCCAGCATCCCAACTCGTGTGGCACACATGGGTGTGCTCACGCCGTCCCACAGCCGGAGGGTCACTGTGGCCATGAGCCTTTTCCAGCGGGCAAAGGCAGCACAAATCCTCTCCCGTGCCATGGAGGAGCGTGGCGTGGGCTCAGACCAACCTCTTCTTCAGCATGAGCCAACTGCATGAAAAAAAAGGCAGCTTTGCCAGTGCTATGAGTTAAACTGCTGAATTTTTTGCTCAGATTCCCCTTCCTGAATCAAGCATCTCTATTTTGGCAATCTCATGCTCCCCATGTGCAATAAAGGCTGGCAGTTATGGAAGGGCAGCTGAAGGTCACCCCTCCATTTCCTCGTTATTAACATCCGTAAGAGGCAACTAGTGAGAAAGGTGAAAGAGTCAAAGTTCATTATTCTCGTAATTAGCAGATTACAGGAAAGTTCAGCAGCTTCCACAGAATAAGAGTTAAAGATTGAGTTCGCTCACCTGTCCCTACAATTAGCAGCTATAAAGGTGTCACGAGGATATAAAGTGAGAGAAAGAAGCAGCCCGACTCCAATTTACTCACAGCGACGATGCAGCTCTCCTGGGAGGGGCTGGAGCGCTGGGGCTCGCTGTCCTGCAGTTAGCAGCGTACGAAGGAAAAAGATTTAATACCTCACTTCAATTTTCTTGCAATTAGCCCCTCCCCAGAAGATGCCGTTGACCTCATCAGCTACGAGACAGAGTTTCACAGTTCATTTTTTTCCATACCATCCTAATGAAGGGATGGGAGAAGGAATGAAGAGGGAAAGAAAGGAAGAGATCACTTGGCTAATTTTCCTGTGGTAGAAAGCACAGGGATGCTGAGAGGAACATGGGGATGGTCTCATTTGATGAGGTCTTCACCTACCCAAAACTAACACACATCCTTTATCTCAGGCACATGTGCTGACACTGGGCTCATTTCTCGGGCAGAAAACTAGAGTTTTTACAGTTTTCCATGTTGCTGCCCAAGACAGGAAGAAATCTGTCTCTGTGCATAAAAAGCCATGTGGGGCTGGCAGGGAACAAAGATGTCTCTCTGCTGGGGCTGAGACTAAAAGCATCAAAAAGGAGGTGGCAAAGTGAGACCTGTCCAAAAGATGAAAAATCCAAAATAAAATAGTATTTTAAAACAAAAATGCCAAACACTCACTTTAGTAATATGGGAGTGAAGCATCCTGAGATTATCATTACTAGAGGAGTCTATTAATGTCTAAAAGCCTGACAAATTTTAGGCACTTTCATGAATAGTTGTGATTATTTCAAGTAAGCATTTTTTTGCTGAACAGTTTTCAGTGAGCTGCCCTTTCTGCGCTTCCACCGTCCTTCTTCAGCTGCACCTGCCCATTTGATTTTCTTTTCTCGCCGAGGAGATGGTGTAAATCCCAGGGACTCCTTGCCACTCAGCTGTAATTATTCCAGGGAAGAAAGCTGCTTACTTTACATTTTCTTGTCATTTTCCCAGAGTGTGAAAATGTACTTAATTTAGATGCTGTGGCTGTGCCATCACCTCCAGTACCTGTTTAATAATAAATTCTTCCATACCGAGACCTGGCGCTTCTCCTGGAGCGAGGGCAGGGACTGTTTCCACATCCTTAGCTCCTGGTGAGCTCGGGGATGGTGGCCACATGCTCACGGGGCTTCCCCGCACCCTCCTTAGTAAGAACTGGTAGGTTTTAATCTGATTTCTTCAAAAAATGAGGCTTAGGCCATTTAAATTGTCTTAGGACAATTCAACACAAAACCTTTGAGCAACCTGGTCTGGTGGGAGGTGTCCCTGCCCATGGCAGGGGGGTTGGAACTCGATGATCTTTAAGGTCCCTTCTAACTCTAATCATTCTACCGGTCTATGATTCTATGATTTAAAGAAAAGTAGGAGAATTCAAAAGTACATTACTGTACCCATGTCCTCTGTCCCACTGAGGCTACATTTTTATTTGCGTCTCTTACGGTAGGTATTATAAGTTAATGAAATAGAAATTGATCTTTAAAAGAGCACTTTTCAAGGTTCAGTTCCTATCTAATTAATTTAATTTTAAATTACATCAGTAATAAAGACTTAATTGCCTTCTTATCAATATATTGTATTTTGTAAAGGACATGTGACTATTTAAACATGCAATCGTTTTCTTATTCTAGAATAATTGGTATTTTAAGCACACAACTATCATATTAAGTGTAAAATATGTATTTGTGCGCTTAATTTCAAGTGGTATCAAAATCTCAATGAACATGCAAATGTCACAACAGCTGCTATTTAACTCCTCGCCTCTCCAGCAAACGTACGGGCTTTTCTGTGTAGGGGGGGATGTAACGTATATTCATATGGTGACACCAAGTTTTGATTATTATCAATTTGCAGTCTTAGGGTATAGGAGGCAGCTGAGGATAGATAGCTTCAACTTCTATGTAACATGTAAGGAGGTCTTTAAACCCTCTATACCTTCACATAAGTCTCATTTTTGGCTTCCAGTGTGAAGCGGAGGTCTGTAGCAGCAGATGTGCTTGTATCCATCATAAGCAGAAACACAGTTAAACACTGACATGTTTTCTCTCACAAGGTTTCAGTAGCCACCATGACTAAGCAGACATGTCAATGTCAAGCTTTACCCACTTCCTTTGCTTAGCACAGGAGCTGGATTCTGTAGTGTATCATCAGCTGCCAGGAAGAATAATTAAATATTGTACAAGTACCTTTGATTTAAAAATTGCAAGGGGAGAAATTAGATACAGCAGAAGCCACAACACATCCGCAGAACTGTGTGGTAACTTGTCAACTACATTAATTTTGAACTGTGCACTTCGACTATAAAAATATTATAATCTGTGATGTATGTCTTTCATATATGTGTGTGTATATGCGTATATCTATATAAGGCACCATTTAAAAATAGCAAGCTTCTGGCTGTGAAGTAGCAAGATCAGATATTACTGAAGTGCTTTTAGATCTGTCATCACACCACCACTATTTAATTTTAATATATGTTGACTATAAAATGCACCATATTTATTCTTTGATGTGACACAGTAAATAATATTGGGGCCACACTACTTTGTGTCATCTGCTTCATAGAGGGGAGCGAGACCTGCAGCCTCCGAACACCATCACTTTGAATTATGGGGAAAGGAGCTTCCTATCAAGGCACGGAAGCCTCCAGACCCACCGGTGGCTGTGCCAGGTCCAGGAGGTGCCTGGTCACCACATGCTTTTCAGATGTGACCGAGCTCTTCCTGCAAACACTGACCTTCGACGGGTGTGCATCTGGAAATAGGAGATCACAAGGTCTCAGGGGAGATCTGCTATTTGCAGGCCTGGGGGGCTGCCAGGAGAGCAGACCCTCCCCGAGCAGGATGCTGACCTTGCACTCACTGCTCAGGCACGAGTGTGGCCTCAGCCCTCCCATCTGGCTCCAGGGGAGGGCCAAGGAGGTCTCACTTGACACTAAAAAGACCTTTTCTAGCCTTATGGAACAAGCTGTTTATTATTCTGTTATTTAGTAGCCCATCTGAGATTAATATCTCATGGCTACGTGCCTTTTCCACTCTGCTATGTGCTATTTCTCTGCAAAAGAGGATCATCTGTACTCCTTGCCATGTGTTTTAATACTTGGTTGCAAAGCTTGGTTTCTGGAAGGGTGACACAAGCCATGGAGGGGACCTGCCACCAGCTGCAGCACCCACTCCAGCGTCTGCCTGGGCTCTGCCTGCACCAGAGCTGGGGTTGGCAGGTCCGATGCCAGGTAACGCTTCATCAGGACCAATCCCCGTGTCTTTGCTTTTCTGGTGGAAATTGGATCTGACTCTACTTGGAAGGGTAGATATAAAAAAGGAAAAAGTAAGCCTTAGCCTCTCCTTCGCACTCATCTCAGGCAAATTATAAATAAAAAAGGCAAAACAACCCACCTTTCAGGCAGGAATGCAGAGTGAGCCCCATGCAGATCCCGGTGTGAACATCAGCCATGTTCATGCTGGTTTCTCCACGGCCGTGTCCAGCTGTCCCGGGGTGAGAGCAGGAGGTGTCCGTGTGCCCGCGGTTGGGCGGGAGCTGGGCATGGTGGCCTGGGTCTCTCCCAGGGCAACTGGGCTTGGCCTTCACAGGAACCTGCAGAGACATGTCACAGATAGGGACTCTGCCTTGATGCGAAGGACCTACAAGAGCAGATGGAAATCTGCTGCAATCCTTCCCAAGTTTTATTTCTTTGTTTCATATGCAGAGAGTAACTCATCTTTGTTTCTCTTTCCAGGGGGCTTATTTCTCCTGCTCATATTTCTCTTCGTGATGTGGAAGGAGTTTGCTGCTGATTTTCAGAAGTACATCCTTCTGGAGAGGAGTGAGAAGTGCATGGAGGATGTGCCCGTCCACGTCTATTACGGGTGGTCCTTCATGTTAGCTGCCGCGGGGGTGCCCCTGGTTTTACTTTCTGGACTCCTCTTCTACCTGGTCGGCAGAGACATTATGAAGTCCCTGGAGTAAGACAAATTTGGAGAAGGCCTTTGAGCAAATTGGTGATGCTCCTTGTAATGAAAAGTACCCAAGTTTTGAGAACTCGATTGTTTTTGTAGCTATAATTGTCAGTGAAGGTGCGTGATTACATGGGGGCAGGGATGGAGCTCTAAGTATCCAACCACTGTCAGTCCAAAACCAGCCCCAGCTGAACGTCTAGCTCCACCATTTTTGCACTTTGGAGAAATTTAGACATATCTATATGTTTTACCCTTTTTTTTTTTTTTTGAGCCTTTTTTTCTGCAGCCCAGGAAGGAGCCTTCGCTGTGAAAAGCACCTCCCCCCGGGTGCCAGCAGAGCCCCCATCCATATTCAGCAGAGCTGGAGTTTTATAGCGTTCCCAGCATCCTTGTTTCTTGTAAAAGGTAATCGAATCTGGCTGTGACGGTGTACGCTCTAATGTCTATTTCTGAAAAGCAATTAAGGATGATTTTTTTTTAGCTGGCTCTAATTGACGTCAAAGGACAACCATTTTAATGGGATGTCGGGAAACATGAGAAACTTTTTTTTTCGTTAAAAGCCCTGATTCTGAAGATACTAATGTACCTGGACCTAACTTAACTCTCAATAAGTGAATAAACCGATTTGTGTGGCATGAAACCTAATATGAATTAATTAGTATTTCTTCACAGCACCACATTGCTCTGCATTTAATATTTCCTCTGGACACAATGCTGTGGGGATTCTCAACCCCAAAACTGAAAGATGGTCAGAACTGGGAGAAAGAGAGCGGGAACAATAGCACTATTACTTCTTACTGTGCTTGTTATTGTAGACCATGGGACTTTGCTGGATTCTACAGATCCAACACAACAGTCAGCTCCAAAAGACAAATTATATACCTTTTAGATAGTTTTAACTTCTTGCAGTGGCTCAGGTGTATGTTGGCTGAGAGATTGCAGTGGTCCTACAAAGAGTTACACATGATAATTCTACACTAAACTATCAAGGTATTGAGGTGAAGTAATTTATATGTACACACAGAGGTTTGGAAAGACACTTGAGAAATTACAAAGATTTGAACTTGTCATGTTTTTCGGGCTGGATTTTGATGCTTTGAAGTAGTTTGTTGGGCCCTTGCTTGCTGAAATCATTTGCATAAATTTTAAATCAAGCTTCCTAAAAGTGCACGCTTTCCTCATGAATGTCATAGTTTGAGCTAGACATATATCTCCCAAGCTTTATGTCATAGTATTGACTCAGGGTAGTTAATTAATAAGGTAATGTAAATCTCTTCTAGAAAGCAGTGAAGACTGTTGGCAGTATAAAAATGTTTGTTAACGTTCTTCCTAAAATACTGTTCAAGTCTGGCATTTCTTCCCTTTTGGAACAAGTTCTAATTATTTTACAAGATTCATGGCATACATAGAGTGAGAAATTGAAATTCCCACATGTAAAGATTAGTTCTTTCATATGAATAACAGGCTTGGTCTACAGTTCTTAAGCAAAATTCACACTGTTTTCCATTAATAGAAATTTTGTTTGAATAGAATTGGTATATAGAGGTAAAAGCCATGTTTTTTTCCCAATGAATAGATGTCTCATGACATTTACAAATACACGGATATGTCAGTGTGTTATTTGGCCATTCTAAACTGTTTATTTCATGGCATCTCCTTGGGTTATGCCTGTGCCCCGTCAGTTCTCCAAGTGATAATTTCTCACTATAAATTCCCTTTGAATAATTTTTGTCATTTAATTATCTATTCAGTGTAGAGATGAACACTTATGGTCACAAAGAATAAAAGTATATAATCCAGGAGCAGAAGAGGTCAAGATTTACAGTCACTTGCCTTTCCCTGATCCCATAAAACAATCCAAGCATGCAGAAATGATGATCCCATAAGAGACACCAGGGCAGAAGAATGAGAATGCAGCAAGAAATCCATCAGACTTATTGATATCTATGAAGCTGAGGATCCCTGAAGTTGTGAATATAGAAGTGAGTTTTATATTATAGAATGAAATATTTATTAACTTTCTCCATCTGTTCTTTAAAAAATTTAGTTTAATGTCATCAAGGCATTTATGGAATACATTTAGTTTAATCATGCATTCATGCCTTAGGGAGTAAACCCTCCCTGGAGACTTGCTCATTCTGGATCAGCTCTAGAACAAGCAATAGTTTAAAACTTCATCATTCTTTTGAAAAACACATGACTTTGAATCATTCCTGAATGGAGGATTTTTAATAAAGCCTCTGGTATTGAGCGTACTGTAACAGTCACCACAATGAGGACACAGAAATGAGATTATAGACTAGAACAACTCCATTAATTACCTCCCCTGCTAAGATGCAGCATTTGTAGCCAGCACAAGTGTTAACCAAAGACATTGTTTTGGTGGAATGAAAAGACCAGTTCCTTTGCTCTCAAGTTTCTTGTGGCAAACGCAGCTCAAGCAGACAAAATTTTGTGTGAGAATCATAATTTCTGGAGGAGAAATTTCAAAAAACAAGCTAATGGACTCAGTGGTAGGTTTTGAAATTGCAGAAACCACGGTCTCTTTCATCTGTTGAATGTGAAGAAGTTTGATGAAAGGATATTACAGAGTAGTGACAAGGACCTAATTCTGATCCAAGTTTTGTCATTATAAATCATGAGTAATTCCAAAGACTGCAGTAGACCCTTATCACTGTTAAACATCTGTAAGTCAGATCAGAACCGGGACTAATAAATACATTCAAAAATGCATAATTAAAACAGTGATTTCACATCACTCTGATGAATTTTAGTCAAGGATTTCTTCAAGGATGCTTTTCTCACATTAGCATTTGACGTTAGTAAGCAATGAATAATTCCATTTTTTCTTTCCAACATCTGGGACACTTCCTGCTTTATTTGCTACTTACTGAACACTCTGCAGGAAATATTAATGAATCTTGGGTGTTAAAATCCAGGCCCTGTGGATCACACTCAGGATGCAGTCTTACGTAGTAGAGGCTATGTATCTTGAGATTAAAAGGCTTGATTTTGGTAAAGTAAGATATTGGGAGATTTGCCAAACCTGTGGGAGATACGGGGATGTGGGGAAGTTACCCAAAAATTGAACCCCGGCAGCTTCTTCGTTCAGCTGTTCCCTCACAGCAGGGAGGCAAAAATTAACGATAAAAGTTTTTTCTCTTGGACAGACCAACTTTTTTACTGATGTGTCAAAAAACTAGCACCCAAGGAGCCCCCAAGACCAGGAAGGTTCTGGCTGATGGGCATCAACCCCAAGGAGACATGGACCACAAAACTAACATACCGTGAAAGCATCGCTGCTGTGCCTCGCTGCTTTCTCACATCATCAGAGGTGTGGAGATTTTCCTCTTTCTTGGAAAATTATATGGTAAAATTCCATGGTTGGAGAGGTCTGCCGGCTCTTCAAAGCAACGTGCAGGGGAGAGCTGGGCTGAGCACCAGAGACAGGAGAGCTTCTAAAGGAGGAAAGAGATGTCCTTCTGTATTAGAGTGAAATGACCTTGGCAGTTCAATGTCTGACTCTGTTATGGCAAACAGGTTAACTGGACCTTAACTACAGTTCATCCAGCCTGGTGTGCAACAGCCCCTCCAGGATTGCTGGCTTTGACCCAGCAGGACTTAAGAAAACTTGCTACTTCTTTTTGTCCAGAAAAATCCATCTCATCTGGAGAGGTAGTGTTTACACCTTGGTTAGACACACTTCTACTGCCTTGGTGGACTCACATAACAAAACATGGAAGCCTTGCAGATCAAATATCTCCATCTGAGCTGCCCCAAGGCTCCCCACATCAACCGAGCACCACCGGCACCCAGTGCCCACTCATCCTTGTAGCCACCCCATGCAGTGCAGTGGGAAAGGGAGGTGCTCAGGCTTTACATCCCTATGGAAGGGAAGATATCTAAGGAAGATTCCAATGGTCCCCTGTCCTGCAGGCTTCCATTGGGCAGCCCAGCCCTCATCCTGCTGAGTCAGCACCTTCTGAAGTGCCTCTTGTCACTCATCCCTGCCCGGGGAAATGCTGGTGGGAGAGGGCACAGATGCAGTGCAGCAAATTAAGATACAAACAAAATGAAAATAAATAAGAAAATATAGCTCCATGCTTTGTGCACTGGGCTGTACATTACCACAGGACTAAGTCGTATCAGCCAGAGTACATTTTACAAGAGTGCACAGCACCTCAATCCTATAATCAATAAGCTGTACATGCTGCAGCACAAAGAGCTCTTATCTGGAATACCACTTTGAATTTAGTGAATTTATTTAATCCCTGATGCCTGCAGAGCATCAGCCCTGTCTTCTGGGTTAATTTATTTATTCCGGTGATCTATTTTTAGTCTTTCAAGTACTTGACATTTGAAAAACAGAATTTTCTTTCCTCACTTCCTAAAAACCATCTGAATTGGAAAAACTTTATTTACAGAAATGTACTTGTTTCCTAATTCATTCCCCACTCTTTCTCTTGGGAGCCAAGGTCCTCTTATGAGTCCTAATAACCATACACAGAATAGGTGGGGGAAGGCTCTTTTTCACCTTGCTTGGCAAAGCCTGTTTCTAACTCAATGCTGCACATTCAGCGACCTTCTCTCTTTCTTCTCATCTTTTTTTTTTTTTTTTTTTTTTCCCTTTCGAATATTCTCTCCTCCTCTTAAAAAAAAAGAAAAAAAAAGTCACCTATTTTTAAGGGATATCCAAGATGCCCTGCTGAATTTAGTTTGGGAATTGTCATGAGTGCAGGCGATGCTCCTCTGGAACTTGCTATTTCCAGGTATCATTCCATCACATGAACCCTTGGCTGAACCCAAGAGAACCAGTGGTTTAAGGAGTGGGACTACATAAATGCTTGCTGTTAAAAAGAAATAACAAATGAAAAAGTAGTCTGCAGCCACTGCTATGATGGTGTAGTAGTGATTATTATCAGCGCTGTAAAGAATTGCACTCTAATTAACCCAACCAGTAGGTACTAAACATTTGGTTATGGGAGAGTAGATTGAAGCTTTATAAGCTTTAGGGTTTGCAAAGAAGAAAAAAAGTCTCACTTGACCTGGGCTGACTAGATTAATGATGGCTTCATAAAAGTTAGAAAAAATAAAAAGTAGGACAAAGGGCAATTGTGTGAAAAACACAGGGTTAATTATATTTTCCCTCTCCATTTTCCAATATTTCCCTGTATGGCTTACATTTAAAAAAGCAACAAATGCTAAGAAGAAAGAACCACTCCTAGAATTGGGACATTACCCTGGCAAAATGTATTACTAGTCCTCATAAATATTTTTGTAGAGTCACAGAACGCAATTGTTTTTCCATTTCAGATGTTGTTAGAAATCTTTTGTACTTTTCTTCTATTTAAAAACCAGTCCGTGGGAGAAGTTGTTCACCAAGCCATCTAGAAATGCTGCTCAAATAGCACAGGCTGAACTGGCTGCTCTAAGGTCTGAAGCTTTTACTAGTGATTAAACCTCATCTGTTACAGGCTGAAATAATTGCACTGCATGGTGAATAAATGCAGCTCATTCTGAAATAGAGGCATCAATTTTGAGTCTATCCCTGCCAAAAAAGTGGGGAAATTTTAACAATTTAGAGAAACCAGCCACCAAATTAATCCTACTGCTTGCTGAGGTGGAGCCT